TCTCGATTGTGTCTCGATAAATTGTTAACTCAGTTGCGTTTATTGTGCGGTGTCAATGTTGAAATGTATTAATTTTAAAGTTTTTTGTTTATTAACGGAAATATAATCGTGAAATTTTTCTCTTATTAACGGAATCATATAAATGCTGGTCAGAATGCAGAACTTTGAGTCGAATTACATCGCGATACGTTTAATTGAAGAATTAAATATCAATTAATCTTATTCGTACTTATTTATATTGTAATAATTACTCATCGATAGTTTAAATTGATACAGCGGTGATTTCTGTTGATTAAAATTCGTACCATCGGACATTTTTCAAACACTATTAATTTTTTAAAAATTATTTATCGGTTCTATTGTATAGAACTCTGTAGAAAATGCTTAAATATGTTCGGAACTATGCGACAACTATTTGTAGAAAGTCAGAACTCTGTTATTTCGGACAGCAAATCACCTTTGTCTCCATGAGGATATATTTGTAAAGTGATAAAAAAATTTTAAATTATAAAAACTATGTTTTTTCGCCAGAACTCTTTCTAGAACTATTGTAGAATTCTCATGCGATAAAAATCCTAGCAGAAATAATTAGGAAATCATCCGGGGACAAAGTGATTTGCAGCGTGAAGTTAGCAAATCAGTTTGCTCTTTTCAATTTTTTGGTCTTAAAAGCCAGAACTATGTGTTTAATGTATCAGGAATTCTAGAACTATTAGAAAGGAAATCAGAACTCTCTACTCTCTAAAAATCAATTAGTGAATTATCACTGGAAACAGTGAATAGCCACTGATTTGCAGTTATAAGTATACTACTGAAAATTTCAGTAGTATACTTATAACTGCAAATCAGTGGCTATTCACTGTTTCCAGTGATAATTCACTAATTGATTTTTAGAGAGTACAATTAGTGATTTTCCACGAAATGAGATGCCAGCTTCACGCACACGGGGAAATGCCGTCAGACATTTTCCGGCAAATATACGAGGGCCGCCGATCCCAGGAGGCAGACGGAGTAAAAGTCGCAACGTGTGAATATCGGAGTACAGTATTTTCGCGGATCTTAGATGCGACGTTTACCGCGCACTTCCCCAGAAACTCTTTTGAAATGGAGGGACAATTTATTCATCACGAACCGTACTATTAATTATCCAATTTTTAAACCCCGCAATTTTCTTAAAGTGATAAAATTGTACGTACAAAGAAATTTCTTTTTCTCCTTTTTCTTGACTTATTTTCTTTCCACTTCTTGCTAAACCCTTTTTTCTTATTGTATCACTGGTAGCTGTCCTAATATTGACAATATATTCGCAATTTTTGTTCTACGTCTACTACACAGCATCTCCTATTCTTCTTTTCTTTTTTCCGGATTCCCTCGCGATCCCTGTTTTCCCGTCGAACCTTTCTTTCCCTCGAATTCCCGGCACGTAACCGAGACAAACCGATCAGCTGGCGCGCTGGCGATGTAACGGCGTGTTACGCCGCTGCAAATTTGATACACCGCTAACGAGCTCGCTATCAAACGGCCGCATATCCAGGCAGGGACGGAGAGAAATGACACAGGCAGAGAGAAGGATCGATAGATACAATGGTCAGGGAGCCGGTCTGCCCCGGTTAGGGCCTCAGTTTGTGATGCGGGGTCCGTGAGTGCCGTGTCACGAGCCGGAGGGCCGTGATAGTGTCATCCGTTGGTGAGGGCCGTTTATGAGGGCCAACGTACCACCGAGACGATCGAGGAAAGCGCGAGTCAAGGTCACGGGTATGGGTCTCCTTATCAAGGAGACGTCGCTCAGGTATCAAGATTTCGCTCGCGCTCGATATCTGTTGCATCTAGGAGTGCGGGAGACTATGTTAGGAGTGTTTCTACGCAAGTGTTTCTCGCAAATTTTGTCCATATCCGAGTTGTAATTTGACGGGATTCATAATTGCTGATATCGCTTTGAAATACGCGAACAGAATTTTCACTTAAAATTTATCCTGAAAATCATGTAATCGTGGGGCAACATGAGAGTTTTTGAAATTTTACATTACCTTCTACTAGTAAAATGTACTAAGTATAATTACTAGTAGAATATATGGTAAAAACTCAAAATTGTTCGGTAAAGCTATGTGGTCTGACGGTTACATGATTTTCAGAATAAAGTTTTAAGAAAAAATTCTCCCCGAGTAGAAATTACACTTTATGGTATGTTGATTATACTCGTATTTTATAATGAGAAAGACGGAGAGTTCTCGCGCGTGAAAAATGTACTGTCGCATGAGGTAGGATAAATCGGGAAGGAACCAATGTTGAAAGATGTGTGCGATGGCGGATAACGAAATGACAAGCGATAGAATCGATGTTTCTCGCTGACAGAAATCTCGGAAGCGTAATTCCCATCGCAATATACGGAGAGCGTGCGAGTGATGGAAAAAGGAGAGGCCAGCGAGTTGGAATTTCCGAGGCACAAAGTTCAAAGGGACTCCCCGAGTTTCTGAATAAGAGATGTACTTTGACAATGGCTGCGTGGCAATTGAATTCAAATGAAATGCCAGCGACGCCTTCGCGGAACGTGAAGAATTCCTCGGGAAATCTCGTCGAGAAGCGACAGATCGTGTATGCGGCAACGTGTGAAAAATTGCAATTTGCCCTCGTGAGAATATGCGGAAGACACTCGACGAGTGCGCGAACGCAGTAATGCGCGTCTTCGGCAAACAATAGCTTTAAAAAACAAATTTTCCACGGGAGTAACGATTATGATCGTTTTCTTCGCTCTCACCAATTTCTCACTCTAGGAGGGAACGCAGTCGGTCGAATTAAATGTAAATTTAATGAAAGTAAGTGACGTTGAGTTGAAGCATGAAACATCGATCAATTCGCGCGCGCCGAAACTCTGCCGTTCTCTCTAAGCAAATTAAAATTGCAAAGGAACCAGGTCAGCGTCGTGTCCAAAGTCCGCTGAAAAGAATTTTAATGATGTAATAAATCCGGCCGAGAAAAGTTACGAAAAAAAAAGGGAGAAGATGCCGAGGAACGGGGATGTGCCGCGAGGGACGTCGATGGGCGGAAGGTAGCGTAAGAGCGGGAGGGCTCCGCCAAAGGGTGGGCGATGTGCCGGGTTCTCAAGCCCTTCGCAACAAGGGACGGCACTCGACCACTGAATCAACCCTCTCAGTGCCCTCTCTTGTCCTACCCGTTTTTCCCTCGGCCAACGACACCCTCTCTCGCTCCAACGCTTCACAACGCTACGTGATTATTTCAAAAAGCTCGGAGGCACGAGACAAGCTTCCGCTCTTCTATCGCTGCCTCCGTATCGCGCCGAAGCCACATTGCTGCGAAATAATTTTTACGCCGTACCGCACGCGCTTGGCGAAAGGACCGCGGTCCTTTTCTCACTGTTTTCGACCCTCCGACATATCGGGGGCTAGGTCAACGGTACGCCGGATCGTTTGTCTCCTAAAATATGCGGAACAACGCTGAAACATCGTCCCCGTGAAACATTGGAAGCGTCAAAGCACGCAATTTCTATGATAATGGTTGCAACGGTGGACAAATCTATTCGGTTTGCGTAGACCTTTTTTTAAAGTCACTTTGATTAGCATTTGATGGAGTTTATAACAGAGTTCAGGTGGCGTAGCAAAGAATGTTGGAAGTTAGAAAATTCGGTCTAAGAAAACGGAATAAAAAGTAATATTGATGCACCGATAATGTTGACACCATCAGCGCAAAGTGTTGACAGTTAATTAGAATAATTGTGATATAACGCGTTCCTATCAAATTTTATTAACACGGAATTCCTTAAAATCTCTTGACAGATATTTCTTTTACGACAACTCAACGATTGTATTTCGGGCAAGTTCTTAATCATTTACAGAAATTTTTACATGTTCCTAAAATAGAAAACGCACGCGCGTGCAAAGAGCGAAAAAAAAGCGCGTTTTATCACGTGTCGGATTAAATAGATCGGCTACTATTATTAGATAAATGACCCGTGTTAGAAAGTTAACGCTACGTCATCTAATGATACTCACAAAGCCATCAGCACTAGTCGGTCTCTTCCTGCAGCCAGTGTCAATGTAATGTGTCAAACATTATGGCACCGCGTTGACCTTAAATCAGGCGGGCGCGAGGGTTTATGCACATGAAAACCGCAAAGTGCATACGCACTAATATACTTTTATCTTTTTATATCTTTACGTCTCTTATATATATTTTTTTCTCTTTTATATATGTCATATGTATGGCAGTAATGACTATGAGTTAATTAATTCTCAACGCGACTAATTAAAAAAGAATAGAATATGATCATGAGAAAATATGAATGTAGAATTAAAATTATAAATGAATTCGTCGCTGCCGAAGAATAAAGCCTCTACTGTTAAAAAAAATTGAGGCGCACGTGGAGCTTATTGAGCGAGCAATTAATTAATTAAAATCGCTAATGGCAATTGGGGGAGAAAGGCGTGGTCGCGAAATTGCTGGCAATTTCCATCATGTAAAATGTATAAAAAAATAAGAGATATGTTTCACGCGATATGTAGCCAATAAATCTATCTTTATCTAAATACCAAAGTATGCTCGTTGCACAAAATAAATCCTCAAATTTACAACTTTAGAATACGTATTCATGGTCTGCAATCGTATTGCAACCAACACCAAATATGTTTGTTTGATATTCTTTGCGACTCGTATTTGATATGCCTTTATTTAGATATCCTTTCACATTTCGAAAGTGACGAACGACAAGTGAAAGATGGGTAGATGAAAGAATTTGCAAATCCAAAGGGAATTCTTGAGAGAAAAATTTAAGGATACAAATTCCTTTGTATCCTTAAATTTACAACTTTACACTGAGAAAACTTTTTATCAGATAAACCGATTAAATAGTGTTTTCGATGGTTAATTTTTCCGATTACGTGTTTTTTTTCCGTTTACCGCGAGAATCTTAAGACACACGACATAATTTCGTGACAAACTCAACATAGAAAATAATAACGACATACTAATAGACACGTTCTATACAGTTGGCCAGGACTGCCGGTCGCGCTACCGTCACCAGCCTCACCATCCGCGGTAATCGTCTCGCCGGAAACACTGTCTAGACACAGCAGCAGCTCACCTTCTCGCGTTCACCGCCCACCCCAGTTTGCGTTGGCCCTACCATGCTCCTCGCAGCCGATTCCGGCGGTCTGCTATCCGCCGACCTTCCTCGAGGTCACCGACGAGCGGAAGTGGAAGAACCTTGGATGGTGAGTAGCGGATCAGGCATTTCTCCGTCTCGCATCGAGGTCGATGTACCGATCTCTCGATCGGTCCGGGCCTTCTCCGAACGTTGTGCGCTCAATCGAAACTGATTTCCAGCAATTATTAATCTTTTTTAGCTGCATTCATATCCATAAAATATAATTGTTTGTACAACAGAAGCGTGCGGATAATAATCTCACGTAATAACCGCATGCGTGTGTAACACTCTTTGTATGTAGCCACGCAATTAGGGTACCATTAATATTATGGTAGCTGGATTATTGTACCCAGGAATTTACAGTTTATTAATTATGCGCGCAGATTTATGGTATTAGTCATGTATGATTTTACAAAGCGATGGAACGATGTTAAAACTGCAACGTTAATTATTCACAGAATTATATTATACATTCGACGAAAGTGACTACTATTGGTACGTTCTGCATAATAAAACGAGACTTTTGTCTTTCCTCGTGGTTCGAGCTTGTTCCTCTGCCGCGCGTTTCGCCGAAATTGGCGATTTCGACTCGCTTTCGTCCTCTGATACGCGCCAAGGGGAATGCCGGTCACCACGGAAATTTCACGTGATCCTCCAGGTTATCCTGACCGACGTCTGCACCGCAATTACCGGCACTTTATGAATCAAACACACGCGTACAGCCGACCACGCGATTACTCGTAATTGAGCCAATTCTTACGGGGGTGGATGTATTTGCGGCCAATGGTACCTCCGCTGTAATGTTACACGATGATGGGCATCGAGCTAACGATCCATCATTCGCGCGGCTGCCCTCAATCTCTCGTTTTCCGTGATTCCTTCGAAGAAAAGAAACATTTTTATCTGGGTCAGGGCCGAGGAGGGAAGGAGAGCCACTTGTGGACACGAGGATCCCGCGTCGGAAAAAAAATCACGTAGCGACTCTCTTAGTTCCCCATCAAAATGAATAAAACTAATTTGTCGCGGCAATAAGTGAAGTAACGTCTGGATTTACACGTACAGAGGGAATTGTTAGTCCATGCGATGCAGTCCGCTGATTTCAATCCTTCCTACGAAGCCGATAAAGGCCCGACGTGGGTTTATAGAAACCGAACGGATTTATAAAATTCCTCGGTGCATTCCGAATGGAGATCCGTTTGATAGGCCGGCAAGTAGTAACTGAAGAGGAATGCGCGCGGTGATTTCTCAAAGTACCGGCCGGAGATGGATCTATTTCCGCGAGCGAGGATTTAATCCACGCGCGACGTGGATCCGCGCTTTCGTTCGGCTTCAATTTCCGTTTCTGCTGCAGCGACGCCCTGGCGACCACTTTGAGCGCGCTGTACGGGAAACTTCTGGTTGTGATGGGGATCGCCTTTCCCATGGCGGAAGTAATATCCACGTACATACCGCCGTCTTTCTACGAGGCTTTCTACCTCTACCTCTACTTCGGCAGCATGATCTTCCTCGTTTATATGTACGCCATGCTGTTCAGCGATAACAAGACAAAACCAAGTGAGTCCGAAAACACTGTGAAACAGTTACCACGATCCGCCACGTCCCTATACGCCGCGATGAATATTTCCGACTCGATAGGGAATATCGATTCGGCTTTTACGAGCTTTTACGTGGCTCTGTAGAGTTTCGTAGGGAAGTAGACGAAGCTCGTCGTGGTCAGACCGCTTTGGCAATCGCAGCCTTACATACCGAGCAATTAACATTCACGCGCACGGTGGCGCAACGTCATGTATATCGTCGCGATGACCTCGCCTCGTTCCTCGTCAAAATCTCTCGACCGGCGGCGATCGCCGAAACGGGAGCGTCCGCCGCAGGCGGTACCGACTTGGTGCGTAATGATGGGCGATCGCTGCCGCGTAATGACCGATCGCAATTAACCGGTTCTCCATAAATCCATAAATTTGCGAAGCAGAGAAGCAGAAAGACGTGTGCGATCTGGACTCGTCGAGATCGTCGAGCGGCGCCGGCGGCGACAGCGACGCACTTGAGACCGGATACCCGCACGTGAATGCGGTACGTCCGGTCCAGCACTACGGCAGCTTCTATCTGCGGATGGGCGCCGTGGCGTTCGGCATCGGCTCGATGATCTACTCCGGGTTGGAATTCGGCCAGTACTTCGAGCTGGAACAGAACACCAAGTGCCACAACATCATGCTGGCGCTCACGCCCGCTACGAGAATGGCCTTCATCTTCATCCAAATGTACTTCATATTCCTGAACAATGAGGTGAGTGGGCGCCGAATGCGAGTGATATATCCGTTCCCACGACTTGCAACCTTTCTTTCAATGACAAGCCACTTGGTTTCGATTTCAAAACTCATTTTCCTCGGTGAGAATATCGAAGGTCACCGTTCGTAACTTTTCAATCTTCAACATCGCTCTGCGTCTTGAAGATTAAACTAAAACTCGTGTTAAAATAAAATCCACTTCAAAGTAAATAGAACGATATAACTGCCCACGTTAATAAAAACGAAGTTTATAAGATTATACGTATGGAAAGTTACTGCATTGATTTCTTGAGAATCGCTGCACATGTTATATCGGAAAACTCCGATGGTGTAAGCTCGATGGGGAATCCGGAAGCTAACACAAGCTCGTCGGTTACGGGGTTAATGAAACAGAAGGGTGAACAACCCTGAGAACAATAGTAGAACGTGACCATCCGAACGCTCTAGTGCCCTATCGATATAATGTACTATCCTTTCTGTTTCTAACATTAATGTAAAGGCTGGTTTATGCAAGGCCGTAACCGTTAACTTATGCCGGAATCGGTAAAAATTGCCCAATCACCGTTAAAAGTGAAGAGAATAATTGACTGTAATTGGTTAATTTTTACCGATTCCGACATAAGTTAACGGTTACGGCCTTGCATAAGCCAGCCTTAACTCTCGCCAGAACTTTTATTGTTTCGTACTCTCTAAAGTTTTGGAGGGAAAATACCGCCACCGAGTGAAATAATTACTCCATTCGCGCGAATATTTCACCCTAAAAGGTTTAGAGAGTATAATGTTTTATATGGAGCATTAATACGAAAAATTTCTATTTAAAAAAATTGCTGATGAAAAGGACATGTTCTTTCAGGTAACTTGTTTCCTACCTCTGTCATATCAGTCATATTACATGTGTATATGTTTAACAATCAACACAGAAGTGAATATATTTAGTTAGAAGGTAGATTGCTGCAAGCATATAAGTAGAGGCAGTAAAATTATATATTTTATTTGATGGTAAAAGTTACTGTCGAAATCTTATCAGAGTGCCTCGTATTTTAGCAAATGAAGGTTTACCGTCATCGCGTCGTTGCACGTTTCGGACTGATGCACATGATCGGCACGAATCTGTCAGTTTGGCTGAACGTTCTCGTGCAGGAAACTAAACACGAGATCCTCACGTTCTACAATCCGGAGAACAACTCCCTTAGAATCTCCCACAGACTAGGTAAACGCGTTCGAACGTTGTCTCCCATTACGGTTCTACGATCGGTCTGACTGTCGAATTTTCAGGCTCGAAAGGAGGCCTTCATCTCGGCGGTCACATTCATGCCCATCACGGAGAACACGTGCGGCTACCGCGCGGTCTAAAAGGTCCCCATCACATGTTCGAATGCAGAAGGACGAATATAATGGGATCGCTGGTACAAGACGCCAGCCCCTTCCTCTTCCCGTGCACGATAGAATACAGCTTGATTTGCGCGGCCATTTTATACGTAATGTGGAAAAACATATCGAAAGTCGGATTCACGCAGCCTGCAACGCCGCCGGGCTCGCGTCACCACGCACACGCCTACAGGTACGGACAATACATTCGCCTACGGCTAATACTCCTACAGCTGCGGGAACAATACATGCTTACAGCACGTGAATGACAACCCAGTTTACCAACTAATTTCGCTAGCGCGTTTATCAGAGAATCGATTGCGAGTAATATCCTGGCGCAAAGTAAAACGCGTAATAAACTGCCACTGGAGCTTACGTCACCCAATTCATGAATTCACCAACTTCTGTTGACGAACTTTCCATTATTCGCAGGAAATCGCCTCACCATTACAGCGTGGATTGCGCCCGCGCGCACAAGGGCCTCTTCGTGGGCATTTTGATTCTAGTGCTGACCATAATCTCCCTCATCCTCTTCTTCGTCCTCATTTCGCGGCCCGAGCTGGTCAGCCTCGCGGTGACCGAGGTGAACGTCTGCGAGCTGACGCTCTACGGAATGTCGACCCTGGCGACGCTGATCGGCATGTTCCAGATGCGTAAACTGCGCTACGACGGCGGCAGAAATCTGGAGCTCGACAACATCCTCCTGGTGGCCGCTCAGACCGGCATGTTCATCTACTCCACGTTTACTATTATCGGCGGCCATTTTACCCTCCAGAAGCACACGGTCCTCGTGCTGGTCACCGCTCTGGCCAGCGTCGTCCAGACCACCTGCCAGACCATCTTCATCCTGGACGCGTCGAGGCGCACGGTCGCCACCGCCGAACAGATACGCAGGAAGCCGGGCCGCGAGATCGTCACGTTCCTGCTGGTGACGAATCTGGCCATGTGGGCGATCAACACGCTGGAGAAGTCACGGGCGGAATCGCACCCGGTGCAGTTGCATTTTTACGGTCTGTGGGCGTGGACGATTATCACCCACGTCTCCATGCCGCTGGCGATCTTCTACAGGTTCCACAGCACCGTGTGCCTGTGCGAGGTGTGGAAGCGGGCCTACAAGGTGAAGCCGACCTACATGTGACGCAAGGGGTCCCGTGAGGTCATATGGAAAACCGGTGGGCTCCCGCAGCGTCCCAAGAGTCAACTGTCGAGGCTCGATGTCATCGCGGAGAATGATCCGGCGTATTTCATGTGATCGAGAAAGACGTCGAGTCACGAGAATTGCTTTCAAGGGGGGGAATCCGTCGGGCGACATTATAAGAAGTAGACATCAACATCTTTAGACGGACAGAACTTTTCTTTAGACGTCCGAACATGATTAAAGCATTGATACGTACACGAGAGTTCATATGCACGTAATTTGTATCCATTTCGAGGTATATTTCGAAGGAAAGCTAACGGTATAATAATAAGTGGATTCGGGGTCTCGATAAGGGCGTATCGATATCACATACGTAATTTGATCACAGAAGAAGACGTCGGCAAAAAGATACTCATAAATGCTAATTGTCCCCATAAACAGTAGGTTACTTCGTCATTTATCGACTGTCAGTGTTCTAGGTAGCCTAGTACGAATTTATTTCGTCGGAATAAATGTTGGCGACTCCGTGGAATCTACACAGCGTCACTGTGTAATTCTAATATCACTTTCTAAAATGATTCACCGTCTCGCCGAAAAGTATCACTATGACTCGCGTCGAAAAGATTTCAGCAAACTCCGGAAATGTATATTGAGATCCTATTGCTGCTAAGTCGATTTATCGAAACACAATGTTATAGTCTCCTTGATCCCTACTCGACCACTTTTAGAGATTTTGACTGATGAATAATCTTCCTATCCGCTATTAATATCTGTAAATAGCCTCCGATAACTTGACCGCGTTGTAAAACCGACACAAAGAGGAAAGATCTGCAAACCACGCGAATGAACTTAGCAGAATTGCAGCATTCGTGCGAAAAAGGCACGTTGCGTGTGCATTCATGTCTATCGCTTGCGATCACAACCCCAAGCGATAATCCTACAGAGCAAAACTGACAGAACGAGAATCACTGCATGGGAGAAGCGAATTTCATTCGATAAAAAAGAAAGTTCCATCGCGATAGCAGCAAATAAGCGATTTCCACTGTTATCTCGCATCGATTCCGCAATACCGTGCGAATCGATAGGAGATAAGAGAAGCATTTATCTGTTACGTGAAGGAATGCTTTACGAAGTGAAACAATCACTTGTACTTCTCAGACAATCTGTCTGATTAGATCCGCAACCCTCCTCGAAATGGGGTTCATTGATAAATGTTGAATCGATACCTGTCACATACATTCTAAATTTGTCTCCTGTAGATATTCAAATGACGACTTCCTCAATTCAATCGACCAAAAGAAACGATCCAGTGCAGAGTCACGGAGAGACATGATTGATCATTATCTTTGTTACACATTTTATTAAGGCTCGATCGAACACATAATTCTGTAGGCGACAAAATGACCACTCGTTAGAAATAGAAGAGGCTAGATTTTTCTTACAATTAGAATCAATCTGGTTGAAACGTTCGGCATAAGACTTCGACCAATATGGGAGCAATGAATCTTCTTCGTTCGATAAACTTTTGTATATCCATTCCGAGTGACGAGCGAGGATTCGAGACGAATTTCCTCTGTCGAAAGACTGAAACGAATGTCAGGAGACTGGTCAGGGCACTAACAGTAAGCTTAAATCCTGATCCACTTGTGAACCGATCGAACCGAGTCCTCTAGCTGTGTATAACTTGAATGTTTGGTGCTCGTAATCCAAGACACTTGGACACTCTCACGGATATCCGTCTTCCACGTAGTACAAACTGCAGTTTAAACAACAACTGTCGCGTACATGCAGACGACTCGACAGCTAAAATAGCGACGGGAAAAGTAGATTACGAGTATGTTCAATAGCGCGAAGCAACAGAGTCTTGATAGATTGCTATTCGTGAATTTTCATGAACGTGGATTTCGTAAACGAAATTATCGACCATTTATTGCGTGAGACAACTAGACGTAGATCTTAAATCCAATTGACGAATGAATCTCGCAGGAATTAGAAATATTTTAATACCGACGAAAAAGAACCAACTGTATGACTGAAAAGAACGTATTTCTTTCGGTTTTCTATTTAACAAACTCGAAATCGATTCGCACGATCCGCGAACTTTATATTTTCGAGCGCCTTGCGTCCATGTATAATTCAATCAATAAAGAAGGAACCAGATGTAGATATTAAGTATTCTAAAAGAGAATTCAAATCGAAGAATTTTAGTCCTTTTATATCTAAAAAGATGTACGCGCAAGGGAAGATTTATAAATATAATTTTAGATACATTGTCGTAGAAACGAGACTAATTAGCGCCGCTGTTACGATCGCGCGTGACTTATGATACACGAGCATTTTATTGTCGACGTTGAATTTATATTATTAAGAGAAATTTATTTTACGCCAGGCTCAGAAAGCTCAGCGATCAGGATCAAATCGATGCACGAGTGTCTATCGTGGGCTCGCGTAATTTTCAAAAGTAGAACGATAGAGATGAAAAAGTGAAGACGTTCGAAGTAGGATTACAGTACAACGGCTGATCATATCACTAAGCCTTAAATCCGTCAAGAAGAGTGCTGTCCGAGCTGATAGGAGATAAAGGGGATCAAGATCGATCGCGATCGACATGCGATCTCGAAATTAGAGGCGACCTATTCAAGTTTCTTTCATGCTCAACCGACAGATGTGATGATGACAAGATCACACGAGCAAGCGAGAATGAGGGAATGAATAAATTGCGTGGTCACGTATGAGTGTTGCGTGTATGTGTGTGTGTGTGTGTTGCGAGTGCGTGCTTGTATGAAATAAAAGAAAAGACGGGGAGAAAGGGGAGGAAGTCGCGAGATTTAATGGAAACATAGGCGTTTATATGAATAATACGTGTTTCGTGCTAGAAGCTTTGATATCGATTATCGCCGTTGCGAATTCTAGTTATCCGGTCGGTGCAGTCGATCTTTTGTAAGATATAGTTTCTCTAAGACGGCTGTAAATAAATGGTGGAGAATATACAATAAAGCGGATTCTCTCGGTGTTTAGCGCTAGTTGTGTCGACATGTTTCTTCCTATAACGCACATATGTATGTACATGTATACACGCATATGTATATATGTACATGTATATGCACATATATACATACACATATTTATATATACAAGATATAAATATATTTATTATTACGTTGTTCTATTATATAATATTTATTATAATCTGACATAGGATTTACGCGCGACATGTTACGTTTATTGAGAGTCCCGAGGACTCGTGCCGAGATCCCATGTTCATGCTTTCCTTCGCTTCTTCTTTCTCTCGCCTATACACACCTTCGTCCTAAACAGAGCAGTCAGAATGTCGCGGGTAGAAAGCGAAAAATGCCGATGTCTCGCGATGAGCAGCAAGACTTCACAAGGAAATATTAAACATTAATTTTGACTCAATCGTTACAGCCTAATTATTTATACATGATGATCGCTCTTACTTGAAATGTTGCAAGAGGAAGTGCTTGTGCAGTAGACTCGTCCTTTCCGGATAGACTTTTCTCGTGCACATTGTTGACGCGTTTACGATCTCGGCACGAATCCTCCCCGTAAGAGGACAAAATCAGGGCGAAATCACGAAGGACGCAATTTTTCGCATTTGCGAGTGATATAAGAGGAAAGAGAGAAAACGAGGTAGTTCTCTCCGCTATATCACGTCTCTGAACTGTACTTTTTCTATGTCCGCATAATCTAGTTCCTACGCAATGTTTGTACTCTTATACCCTTTGTACTATTTGTACCTTACGAATTGCAATACACTCGTCCGCAATAACGAAACGTTTCGTTTTATTTATCACCAATCGCAATCGTTTCTCCCGGCGAAATCGCGGTTATTAATCTCCACCAACTTAGAAAGTACAGATAAATAGGCGAAGCGCACTCCTATCACGTTTATTTCACGACAGAAGCGAAGTAAGATTTTAAATTAGGCAATTCGGGACACTTAAAATCAGACGTAGTGGTTTGGCTTCGTGCTACGGATAGGTAGCCATTAACAATGCAACGACGACGGGGGAATAATTCAAATAGCGGAGAATCGTGGCCGAGTTGACCTAAATACCCGCGATTCCGGAGTCGATTCCGCGAACGCATTCGTGATCTCTCAATGTTGCGGCAGGCTTTTCTCGGATCCAAGGTCATCCGATGACCGACCCTCAAACCGAATCTAATGGAAATGAAGTTGAACCACGACTTTCTCTTCGCGGTCTTAGCCAATCCGTCTCACGCAAATTGAACATCTACGAGCATATCAATTTAATCGGTAAACCTCAAGACTAAATCACGATTGTGTACAGCATTTTTTTTTAAATTAATATGTAATTATATTATCCTGCCACTATCTGTAACTCCAGAGATCGTTTCTAATTCTGCTGTTTAATACACAGGCCGGTATTCATAGTCAGATCTTATATTGAAGATTGTCTTAAGATCATCTTTGAATACTCCGTAGCCAATGAAATTTTCCATGCGGCGCCCTTAGATAAATTCAAGACGGTCTTGAATATAAGATCCGACTATGAATACCGGCCATAGATAGCTTTATAGCGTTAAATAATTTAAGTACTACAGAAGTGCGTTAAAAAACACGTGTGGGGCTTTTACGTACACTCGCAGCCTTCATTAATTTGCAAAGATTATTAAGCGTTACTTTCGAAATTAATAGTAATAAACTATTAGTATTAATTGCAGTAGTAATAATAATAATGTATTGTCCGAAATACGTACTGTGAGAAATATTAATATATTTCGCTGCACAATGAATGTTATTGAATTAATTGAATTAATTATACGCTTTAATATTTGAAAATGTACACGCGGGGAACTGTTTTATATTGGACATGTCGTTGACGTAGAAACGCTCCCCTGAGTACTCTTGAGACGTAATTAGACTAAATTGATAGATGGAGTATGGGCGCTTAATTACTCCGCTATCAAGTAAACTCGATCGGCTAAAATGCCTTGCGTAATTCGCGCGAAATACAAAAGTTCCTTAACGAGTATTGTTCTCGTTAACTCTTCATTATAGCCAATACTACTGACAGCGCTTTTGAATACCCGGTATTATCTTCGACTTTTCGTTGCTGCCCGAATTCCAGAATTGTACTAAATTACCAATAATTATTATCACCCCCGGCTTAAAGACTCAGTATCGTTGTTTTAATCTTAAACTACACCTGCGACATTTTGACGGCAAGAAATCAATTACACCTTGCACATACTTCATACAATTATTTTTATAAACCGAACACTTTGTATAATTGTATAAAACTTATAGTATTACTTGGTTGAAATACTTGTACAATTCTTGAAAACTCAGAAATACGACGCAACTATTTTTACCGTCGCGTCAACCGAGATCTCGTTGTTGACTCTCGTGGTTCCTCCACGACAGTCGCGAGAGGAATCGGCGCCAAGTCGAATTCCGCGAGAACGGGATGCACGTGCGGACGTGCACAACGAACGCGTTTTTATCGTGGCGCGTGAGAGGGTCGTTGCATAAGAGAGCGTGCGAACGATACGACCTTCGTGCGCTCGATTTAATGCCTAATGTTTGTCGGTTGCAGGCTACCGCCTGTCCCGCGTGGGTGTGTGCTCCCGGCTCTCGGTTTCCGAAGGCGTCGTCCGCGACCCGTCGATCGCCTTTAGCTCGGCAAGTGCACAAAGCGGAAACCGTTCTTACAGGAGCACGAAGATGTCTGGTGGTGCTTCCAATAATAGAAGCACTTGTTGCACACATATTATTTTTTAGCTTAATTTGTGGTAGAAGGACAGCGGAATTGTTAACAAAATATATAAATTATGTATAAGATTTCTTTGCAGCAGGAAGAGGGGGGGTATTGTATCGCATGCTAAGTATAGGATTTAAAATAATTAAATTTCGTCAGTGTTTTCTTGACCAAACCCGGCATTTTTAATAGCACAGAACATTTTTTGCGAAAAGTATTACCTCAGCCAGGGTTTGAACCTGAACCTCCCTACACTCTAGGCGGGCGTCTCACCAATTCGACCACCGAGGCATATGATAATATTTGTCGCAATAACAATATAAAGATGTTGTCTACGCGTCTATTTCGACTCTTTTGAACTGCGTGCCGAGAAGGGTTGTCGGCCGTACTGAGAACTGTCGAATACGCGATTTTTAAGTTTTTCCTCCCGCCTTCCCCGTTTCCCAATTGCTCGGGAAACACCATGTTTTAGGTCAATGGCAAATAATCAACTGATAAAAATTCTTCAATGTCGCCAGCAATATTTCATCAACGTATTAGAAGCCTATCTCATAATAGGGGACTTTCCTCTATTAAAATTATTTAGCTAGCTACATCTTGCATTAGACCTTTCTTGTATGAAAGGATCTCGTCGTTCCTTATTTGAAAATATAAAAAGAAAAGGCTGCAAGCCAAGCGCAGAGATAAGACGCCATGATTTCAACTTAATACATTTAATAAAGTTTCTTCAAAGACAAACGTTTCGGTCCTTTTCTGGTTAACTTCCGGTGAGGTAAAATTGTAAAAAATATCTTGAAATTCTTAGTCGTTAATAATTTTAAACGTGGTCCAGCCTCAAACAATGAGCTCTCCCGCCCATTAGATACCCTTATGGAGATTTCAGCCGTTACGCAAAGTATCGAAAGTCATAAATAATAAGAACTTGAGCAAAAGAGTAACGTACGGAAACAGAAATTGTAATTTCTCGATTAGCAGCGGGAAAACCTTTTCCCCGCTGCCAAGTGATAACATCGCTTGTGCCGATTAATAAGAAAGTAACAGGCTGGAGAGGCGTATCGCGATCGCGTTGTATTTCCATATTCTTCACCCGTAATTGTCCCCCGAGTTTAGCCGCGCGGCTAAACGGTTAATGTCTAAATTCCCTCTCCGACGGGGGAATAACCGATGAAACGAGATTATGACGATCATGAACGCCGGACTTTAATTATGATGCCTCGCAACAATAAAAATAGCCCGTCAGTCGGTTCTACAGGTAAAAAGTTTACCCTACTTTCGCCTGCAAATTAACCTCGTTGTAACATCACCGCGATCACCTCTCGATCGGGGCGGCCGCCGCAGGTAAAAGCGAACAAGCTGGCACGCGAATATTCATGCTTGGTGAAAACCAGAAACCAAAGACGAAGAAAATAACAGTATTCGCTCCCGTGTTGTTGCGAAGCGTCGCTGCTATCCAGACTGCCCGGTGGATGATCGCTGCGTGGTGGGGAAGTGCCCGTAATTACGGGCTAAATCCACCCCTCGTCGGTGTTGCCGAGTTCCGGGCACTCGAAAGAGGGTGCATTTTAGTAGTCAAACCCCGCGATACAACCCCGTATCCATCGTTACATGGAGCCGTTTAAGTCGTAATGTATAAAATCAATAGGCTCGCCAGACTGCTGCCAAATTGGGCTTTGGGCTCCTCGACGGGACGGCGGAAAATGCGGACAAGTTTGGGCGAACCAATTAACATCCCACGTAATACCTTCGCATATTTATGTAAAAGCTTATCACTCGTGCCGCTATCAACGACGGAGTACACAGGAAAATTTCGACGACAAAGCCTTCAATTTTTCGTCAGCTATATCCAGCTCGCCTCGTGCGGGCTTTTTACAAGCGTGAAGCTACACGATCGGGGTAAAAAAAAAAAAGAGGACAAAGAACCGCCGCGCGCGCGGTTCGCCTGCTCGGTGCGCTCGCGTTAACCCTACCATTCCACCTGTAATAACCCTGAAAACCTCCGTCCTCCCCACAGCCGTCCACTCGGTGAAGCGAGGCTCGCTCCGCGGGGCTGTTTTGACGCAACGGCTCGCCAACGTCGCCGCTACTACCCCTGTACGAGCGCCAGGCCTACCACCGGCATCAATATAGGCGCAACAGTACGCTGTCGAAGGGGGACAGAGAGGCACGTCCACGGGGTGGAAAAGCGGGAATCGCGGGAGTTGGGTATTGATCGCCTCTCCACATTGCATGGGGGTGGCTTCGCGCGCGCGGCGACCCCCATAGCCAACTGAGCGTCGCCATTATACCGCCATGGGCGGCCGCGCAGCGTCGCAGACGTACCGAGAGTGAGACCGGATCAGCCGGCCGGCTGGCAAACTCGAGCCGGGATCGTGCACGC